CAGTGGTAGCAGTTGACATCTGAGTCAGATGACCGCCTGTATTACTTGGGATAAATGCAGGGGGTACCTATTGAGTTAATAGCCAACAAACATTGGCGAATCAAGGGGTCTAGCGGCCTACGCCGCCTGGTACCTCTACTTCTCAAACAAAGTGACGGCGACTGAGTAACTCCAAAGTTAACTCATAGTCACTCCTTCAATTTGGTATGGAACCTAAAAGGTTTGAGTCGTTCCGCCTGTTTTAAACAAACAAGGGCACTCGAACCCCTATTCCTACTGGATAACCTATTAAGTTAATAGCTTACATTGGTGAATCAAGGGGTCTAGCCGGCCTACGCCGCCTGATACCTCTACTACTCAATCAAGATTGTGACAAAGACTAAGTAACTCCTATGTTACCTTAATAGTCACTCAAACTTAGTATGAAGCCTAAAAGGTATGAGTCGTCCACTTGTTTTTAATAAACAAAGGCTCTCAACCAATACTCTTGCTAGGTTAAAAAATAACGAGTTTAAAGCCAACATTGGCAATAAAGGGAAACAACCGGTACCGCCGCTTGTTTTCCTACTTAAAATCCTTGGCTACTAGGTAATTCTATTTACTTGGTCAAATTGAATAAAGAGTTCGAATACCGATTGATTAAATGGCCGACTGATCATCTATCCTGGAAACAGACAACCAGTCGTCCAGGGGCATAGGCGGCATACTTACCTGTCTAAACGTTTGGCCATACACAACAGTCGGTCAAGTGAGCAAACTTCAAATACTTAGACAAATTTGAACAAAAACAAAATATTTGATTAAAATGAGCCGGCCATAAAAGACCAGCAGAATATTCAAAACCCCGGCCCCTGGCCGGGTAATTACAAAGCAAACGGCACGCAGGCCGTGAAAAGAAAAAAAATATACTTAAAGCTTAAGAAGGGGCAGTTTAGTATCAGCAGCAGCCACCTGGTCAGCACTCTTCTTGCTGGACTCGGCCTTAGCTGCATCATTTTTTGATGCCTTACCCCAAGTGGCACAAGCGCCACAACCGGCTCTTCCTCCTCCAACGCAACGTCCATCGCCTCTTCTTCAGCAGCCGCCAGGATCTGTTGATTATATATTTCCGAACACTGGCGGTACGTTCTTTCCCATGAGGCAAAGTCGGCACTGGGAACAGTCGTTCCCAGGTCATGCGTTGGATTTGGGCGGAGTCTTCCACCATCTCCGGACGAGCTCTTGTTTCTCTTGCTCGGCCTTGTCCGAGAGCTCTTGGTAAGACTCTTCTCCTGGTTCACCAGGCGTTCTTTTACGTTAGCCAAAGATTTCTCCATGGCTTCGTAAGAGTGCATTTTTTGGCGAAGGGGTTTCAGCTCGGTTTTAAGTTTTGGTGACGGTCCCCTCCAGCTCGTCAACCTTCTTTTGGGCCGTCTCTAGCTGAGCCCGAACAGCGGCGGTCGCCTGCGCCTGATAATAAAGAAGATCAAGGGTCAGTACTTCATTTTGGGCAATTTGAAACATTGCCTTATCACAGCTGGAGGCGGCCATAGCCTTTGCGGCCTTTACCTCTTTGTTTTTCCGATCAATCGGCTTGCGAAGGCTGTTGACTCGGAGCAGGGCCTAAGTACAAAGAAAAACAGGCGTCAGTTTCCAATCAAAAGAGTTAACAGGCGTCCTGGAACTCAAAAGCTCAAAAAGGTGCTAAGTATACCTCAGCTAGGATCCCCGAAATTCCATCGAGGTCAAGGGTGCCGGCACCCTTGACCGCCTCCCTGTCAGATGGAGGAACTATTTTAACCATTGACTTGGCTACCTCAACCAAGTCAAGTCCCTGGGGGCCGGCTGCATTAAGCGAAAGGAAAAAACAAGTTAGACCTAATCAAGAAGGAAGCAAGGGTGAGTTTTTACAAGCAAGTGTCCATACATCTAGGCGGCCCCGCCTGGGTCTTTGAAGAAGTGGCCGGCTGCTTCTCAGCCGCCACTGTTTTCCTGGAAGACCCAGGAGAGCTTGCAACAGTCGTCCTCCGGGCCTTGGGGTCCGGCTGTTGCGAGGAAGAAGCCCTTGGAGTGCCAGACTGAAAACAAAAAGAGTTAGTATATGCATAATACAACTAAAAGGAGGAGTTTTCAAAGCTTACCAAGGGTGCCTCCTTGCTGGGGGAGTCGACATACGACTGCTTCATTAGTGAGACCCGCAGCATGGCCGCCGCAGTCTTAGATGCTGTTATTTTACTCATGGCGTCGGCTGAAAGAAATAAACAGCAAAGTTAGTAAAAATTCCAAGTAAACAAGGCGTGAAAAAACAGAGTATTCGTCAGGCCGGCTACCTCTAGAGCACCGACTGCCGAGGCCACAGGCGGCCAAGAAGTACTCGTCATAGAGCCACTTGAAGCTCGGGACGCAATTTAGGGGTACTTGCTCTCGTACCCCTGAAGTAGAGTTCACCCTAGTCTCTACTTTGAAGAGTCCTTTGTCTAGGATCTCTTTTTTAGCCTTTGGGGGAACAGGCGGCATGCTGCGGCCGCCTGCGAGAAGAGGTGGATCCCTGTTCCACTTATTAAAACGTTTGTTCAGCTCCGTGTCTGAACTCTCGATAATAAGGAAGGTGTTCCGCCAATCCTTCCATTTGTTTGCCTTACCTCTCGTCATGAGGTAACCCCTATGGCTTGTCAATTGATACCAGCCGGTACCTCCCGACTTGGGGGTCCGGCTGAGATAGTTCATGTGGGCGAAAGCCTCAAAACTTGGCTCCACCCCGTTCAGTTCGCACCCGGCCACATAGCCGAGTACGTTTACCCAAGAGTTGGGGGCTAACTGCCATAACCCCAGATCATACCCATCTAAAATCCGCTGAACAGCCGGATGTAATGGGAAGCGCAGTCCAGCTTTGATGGCCGCCACATAGCAGCCAAAGCAGCCGTCACCATAGCTGGTACCAGCCGGCCAGACGACAGTATCTTCTGGATCCGGCACAAACAGTAAATACTCCGGGCCCATTTTGTGGTTAGCAATAAAGCTCGCCACGTTGTCTCGCATGGTTGCAATCCGGCCCCGGGGCACCCTGCAGTAGTAGGGGGCGTTTTCCTCTCTGTAAGAGGCGGACGGCTCTGCCCAATTATCCCCCTTCTCCACTGCATGAGAACTTCTCGCCTCTTGTAGGCGGCTATGTTTTTCTTCTGAGCCAGAAGAACTATGGTCAGAAGAGCTGGATTCGGACTCGTCCCCTGACGAGTCCGAAGAGGACGACTCCTCCCCTCTCCTAGAGGGGCCCGCCTCCTCTCCCTTAGAAGGAGCAGAAGGAAAATTAGACATGTCCACGGTTAGATGAGAAGGGAACACCTTGGTCCCTCTCTCAGCACTGTCAGCTTGACAGTCGCCTCGTTCTACATCTGGCGCCTGGTCAGATGTTTCGCTAAGGAGCACCCTTTGGGAGGAGCCGTCTGAGTTTGATATCATAGCAGTCTTTTTTGTTCTGGCCATCACGTTCTGCATAGACACAGATTCAGTCGGACTTTGTATAAAGGGCAAAGATGGGTCCAGAAAAGGGCAGGCGGCACTCCTAGTCCTAGATTCAGCCGTCCCCGGTGACCGGCTGATCACTAACTTAGGGCGTGTCGTGTGCTTCCATGGTGCCATTTCAAAAAATAAAAAGAAAATTAAGAGTAAGAGAACTGAGTTACCTGAACGGGTGACGGTTGATGAAGTCCTGGAAGTTCGGGTCAGTCGGCTTGTCAGAACAGGCGGTAGGCAGAAAAAGTCCGAAAATGTCAGAGCAAGTTCAGGGGTCCGAATGTTCTCGCAAAAGTTCTCAAATGTGAAAATGACCGAAGTCAGCACTTCCTTTTATAGGCAAAATGAGAAGGCGAAGGGTCGCTTCCAAATTCAAATTTGGGCGGGAAAATCTCTCGGCCGTCTGCAAGGTGACACCTGTAACGGGCCGTCGCCTGTCACCGTGCGACACCTGTCACAGGCGACACGTGACCAGTCGCGTGCCACCTGTGAGGGGCAAATGATTAGGGGATTTTTATCCACCAATCACCGTCTGACAAGTGGACCAACCAGGTTCCGCCACGTGTCCTTCACGAAGGCCAACAGGAGCTTGCCACGTGTCAGTCACAGATACGTCCTCCACGGACCACTTAAGACACGCCACGTGTCCACCCATGCCAAGTGGGACAACCGGCCATCAAGGCCCATTTCAGTCTAGAGGCCCGATCAGCCCTAGGTTTACCTTAAGCCTAGAGAGTTGCACGCTTCCCAAGGCTATAAATACTCGATTAATCCTCATTAATCAGAAAACAAAAAAACAACCGAATAATTAAGAGATCAAGCAGAGAAGAACAGACTTATTAACAACCGGCTAATCACGCTAACAACGCAGATTACCAACACTAAGCACTCTCACCTAGAGAGATCTCATTACTTTACTTTCTGTATTGATTACTCCTTAATCAGGTACTAACTTGACCGTTGGAGGCGGAGCTCTCAGGAGTCTCCGTTATTTTGCAGGTACAGACGTCCGGTTCCAGTCTCGGAATTGTAACTCTCCCGCAGGACATCAGAAAACCCCGAAACAAAAGTAGTAAATTCAAAAATCGAAAGTGAATAATAATACATCAATTAAGTTCAAATTAACAGAGCATTATAACAGAACAAATTAGGGATAATTAAAAATTGAAAAATTATGATCACAATTACTCACATTGTTGCACAAACGAATCAACGAAACGAAGTCCAGAAGGAAACACACGCTCGCAATCGCGATCAAAATCAACGCAATCTCCAGATGCAGAATTCGCCATTGACGATCGGTAACAATTAACGAATTCGTTCAAAAAATCAAATGAAGAAGATGAATTAGCGAGAGAAAAATGTAGATCAAAAATGGAGGTTGGTTGATCAATTGAAGAGAGAGAAAAAATAGGGTTTAAAATCATATATATACATAAATTGAATAATAAGAATCAAAGGAAAAAGGAAAAAAGAGGAAGAAAAGAAAAAAAGAAAAAAAGAAAAAAAAAAAAAAAAAAAAAAGGAAAGAATCGCAAAAGAGAACTCAATACCAGCTACAAAACGACGTAGCATAGGGGGGTGTAGGGAACACACCCTACACTAGGGTGTAGGGTAAAATTTTCACGTGCCTAGTAAGTGAAGTTTGTGAAAATTCTGCTTCTCCTAACTTCCAATTTCAAAATTAAAGGCACGTGGCTGATGTGGGTCCAGGGAACTAAAATTATCTTTTATGCCACCTTTTGAAGGTTTTACAAGTTCGCTGAGAACACCCCACCGTAGCCACTACCTGCAGCCAACAAGCCTCCTTTCGGATCACCTTCTAAAACAAACAGTCCAATCACTGATTTTCACACCGGCGAATTATCCACCATGGTCTCCTGGGTGGACCTTCAAACTCGCCTCTGCCTATGTTGTCGTTGGCGACGAAACAGAAAAGTTTCACACTTCGTTACTTTCCTTTGTCATCCTCTGATCTTAATGGAAGCTTCTTACTTATGTCTTCTCTTTCCACCCCATCAACTACCATCTCATGTTCTTCTAGTATCTAAATTATTAAAACATCCTAAAATACCCTTAGCCTACTGATATTGATGCATAACATGTGATTTCTAAAAATTTCATATAAGTTGCAACAATGTTTTATTTCTTTGTTTGGAAATTCTTTGTCCCTATCTTTCTTTCTCCATTAAACGCTCAGCAAATTTTTTTGTCTTGGAATCAGTTTTGAGAAGTTTATTGCAACTTATTTGACACGGAGGAAGTATTAATCTGCTTATTATAGACAAACAAGCTCAAGCTGATGACTGATGAGCGAGACAAATTTAAGGCACAAGTTGAAGATCTGTTGACAAATGAGGATGAACTTAAACTTACTTTTCAATCTATTGAGGATAAGGTAAAATTCATGGTTTCTTGGCACTTTCATAACTCCATGTGTTATACTTGATAGCTACTAAAACTCTAAGCTTATAACTATAGCTTTTCCACACTAAGATCCATTTACTTGCAGGTTTCGACAGAACAACATGAAGCAGATTATCTTTCAAGGAGAGTAGCCAAACTGGAAGAGGATATGCATGATGTAAGTTGTGTGTGTGCCATTTTTTTTTCATGGTGCAATATTAGTTAATCCGTTCTCTCATTGCATATAAGTTTATCTAAATTTAAACTGTTAATCTGTTATAGTCTAATTTATTTTAAACTGGCTCATGGTGTTATAGCCTTATATGCATAAAAAGGTATCTAGTGGGTCTGTAGTGGTTTATATTAAAGACTTAAAAGGGAAAAATACTTAAATGGAAAATTCTAGGTAGGTTCTGACGATACTTTGTACTCCATTAAGCAGGTGATAGGAAAGATTTGCAAGGAGAATGAGAAACAAGCAAGTTGAGAAGGATGTGTACCTTTCATTTTTGTGAAGCTGTAAATCCTGTTTGTCCCTTTTGAAAGCTGAGAAGATGTAAATCCTGTTTGTCCCTTTTGAAGCTGAGAAGTTGTAAATTCTGTTTGTGCCTATTATTTCTTAGAGAAGCAAGTTGAGAAGTTGCAATCTCCGTCTGCACATTTCTAGTTTGCCTTGACTGCAGCAACACCCAGAAGAGTCTAGTGTGGTACAGTTAACAAACAGAAATTTTTGGAAACTGATGTGATGTGAAATAGGGGTGCAGTTTCAGAAACTTGTTTTCATGACTATTGACTTGATGTCGAATCATCACCATATGTTCAAATTAACAGATATCAGAACTCTTTACATTACGAACAAATCATTGTCTTAATATGCAAATGCAGTCAAGTTTTTAATAGACATTTGGCTATCAGCGTACGCATATATATGTCAAAATAGAAGGGTTCAGATTTCTGTATGCATAAAATGTGTACATGTTTGTTTGACTTGCTGGTAGGGCGATCCAGAGTAAGGGGCTTGTAATTGAAGCTGAGACCTCAACGATATCATGGAGGTTTGGATGCTCAAGGTCCAAGTTCCACGTGTTGTAGTTCTTACAGACATTAGGATTTGTGATTGTAATCTCCTTTATTAGTTTTATAGTCTCCTTTATTAGTTTTGTAAAAGTCTTAAATTTAGATTATACGATCCAAGTGTAAAAGTGTCATTTGGAGTGAATACCAACTTCCCTATTAGGCTATTAGCTTATATATAGAGATTATTCATAATGTTTAGAATAAGGGCTTCTTTGGTGCACCTTATTTTTGCTTATCTTAACTTATATGATCTGATCTGAATGTCAAATTTGACCAAACTTTGACCTTATATATACGATAATCTATGCGGAAAAAATATATCAAGTGGGGTCTTGTTAGATTCGTGATAATGTGTACTTTATTAATATATGATTTTCATTACGAAATTAAAGATATTTAGCGATAAAAAACTGCACATAGAACGATGATCTGATTTGTACTTATATTTTCTGTTCTAAACTTATTTTTTCTGAAATAAGTAAAACTAAGGTGAATTAAACATGGCCTATTTTATATGTACGTATGTGTACTGATAAGGCATAAAGATGTCATCGAAGATTATCAACGCACCCCACGTCCCCACCTAAATAAGTCTCGAGATAGGAAATAGAAAGAACACAACTAATACAAAGGGTGTTAGCGCCTGTTCTCCCCAACTTCTTTCAGTACAATTCAGTTGAGTTTAGTTCAATTCAATTCAATTCAGTTCCTAATTTCTTCCTTTTATTAAATATTCTTTTTAACTCAATTCAATTCAATCCTAATTTCCTTCTCTAATAAAATATTCTTTTTACCTTAATTCAATTCAATTCAGTTTGGTTCGGTTCAATTCAATTCAGCTTAGCTGTTTTCATCCAAAGCAAACATGCCCTTAATTACTCTATAAATCATTCCAAATCATGATGGATTTTAATTATTAACAAGGTCTAGTTTAGTAATGTTAACACCCGTGCAAATGTGTGATGCAACACCATACTTATAAACCAATATTTGACTATAATAATTTAATTTCTTACACTTATAATCTAATATCTGATAATTATAATCTAATTTCTGACAATTACAATCTATTATATGATAAATATAATCTAATATCTGATAATTATAATCTAATTTTTGAAAATTAAAACCTAATACCTTGACACTTATAATCTAATATCTGATAACTATAATCTACTCGTAATATCTAACCATTATTATCAAAATTATGTTACTTTTAATCTAATATCTTATATTTATAACTTAATATCTGACCATTATTATGAATATTATCTAATTTATGACAATTAAAATTTTTTATTTTTTTTTTCTGTTTGTATGACCGGACTCACGTGAGTCCGTTCTACACAATACTTTCACTTTAATGTCAATCATTAAAAAATGAAGAGTATTTGCAATTAATGGTTATAATCTAGTATCTTCAAACCAAACATAAACATTGTTTCAGCTAATTTTTCTCAAACTTAAGAATTTAAAATTTCAAATCTCTACTACATTTATATGGTTATGTAACACTTTCTTGTTTTCATGAAACTTTAACTACACTTATATACTTATAACCCGAAACGCTCGAATCAAATCTCGTACGATTTGCATCACTTTATTGTTTTCATTACTAACTTTATTTTGGTGTTTCACCCGCTTCACCCTTTACACTAATTTGGATTCGGGGTTCTTCCACCAAGTGCAGCCTTATTACCACTTCACTAACAGTCAATTCAATTGATTCTATTACTAACTTTAATTGTACATAAACCCAAATATCTCGTATCAAATCTCGTCTACATCATTATTAACCGTGCGACACCATCTATCCATCTTGTACGGACTATAATTGTTTTCATACTTGTATTTAAAAAAAAAAGGAGGGCACAATGAAGAAAGGAAGAAAGAGAAAAAGGGTGTAAAGATCCAAAAATCCGACAGGTCAATAAAATGTTGCACTCATGTGGGTGGGGGTTAGTTCAACAACGTAGTGCCACGTACGTGGTTCCCACCTTCACATGCCTTCTTATGTGCCATATCTTGGTTGGCCGACACCAATCATAATAAAATTCCTAATTTTTTTTATTTTTATTTTTTTTTGTTTTCACATATTCTAAATAAAATTAAAACACAAAATTAAAAAAAATAAAAATTAAAACCCAGAAATTTACAATTTTATTTTTTTCACCCAAAAACCTTAGTTAAATCATATTTCCTTCAAAAAAAAAAAAAAAAAACCTTAGTTAAATCATATCAGATTCTCAACACTGTTAATATTTCAATTTTTTTTTTTGACAAGATCTAGGTTGATATAACCTATTTCATCAACACTAATCTTTTCCACTTCGATTAATTTTCATTGATTTTTTCCCCAATTCAATTCCAATTTTAATTTTTCTCAATTGGAAAGATTTAGGGTTTTTGCCGCTTTTTCAATTTGAAATTTTGTCAATTGATCGCCTTGAGTTTGAGTACTAGATCGCCGATTACAGCGATTTGGTACTCCGGCGAACGGCGGACGTCTTGATTCTCTTGTTGAATGTGCTCGAAGTTTAGTTTTTGATTCTGGGAAGATTAATGCATAATAAAATGGGCCCACCTCTTCGCAGGTTTGAAATTTTTCTGGGAAATTTCTGGGCTTTTTTTGTAGTGATTAACGGCTATTTTTGTTGATCTTATTCGTTTGATTATGTTTTTAGTGGGGTTTCGAAACGATCGAATGATAGCGCAAGGCTTGTAATGACTACTATTCTAGGTGTTGTTTTTGGGTTCTTCATTGGAGTTTCATTTCCTTCAGTTTCTGATAAGGTACATTGATTTATTTTGTAATTAATTTTTCAGTTTTCCATGATTTGGGTTCCAAATAAATGAAAAATGTTACTAGCATTTAGTTTAATTTAATAATTTCGATCGGAATTTTGAATTATGCTGTTTTTTTTTTTTTAAAAAAAAATTAATAAGTTATGATTGAGCTATGATTTGGGTTTCAGATTAAATTATCTTCAAGACTTATTTCCTCTTTTGATGGAATTTCTAAAAGTTCCGCGAAGTCTCTTGAAGATCTTGCATCATTGACAATCCCTAAGGTATGTCATTAATCGTTTTTCGTGTTTCGAATCGCGTGTTTTTTTTTCATTGTTTTCTTACCTTTGCTAGCTATCTTAGAAACTTGAATGAATTCTATTGATGGTTTTTACCAATTGCCACTACTTATTTTATTTTATTTTTTAGATATTTTACAATGCTTTAAATGAACTTCCTATTTTGCCTTTGACCCTTTGTTGTGTTGAAATAAGGGATTTCCAGAATTCCAGTTGGTCCTAATCTGAAATTCAGAAAAGGGCCAATGAGGTCGGATAAGGGTCAATGAGTTTTAATGAGTTCAGACTTCTTAAGAGGAATTCAAGTGAAAATTAAATAATATGATAATGTTTTTTATATTGTTGTGTGCCTTATATTTGGGTTGCTTGGGTGTTTGTTAAGTTATCATAGTTTCAAACATATTAATTTAGGCTGGCATTGTTTAAATTTCTGCATCATATTAATACACGAAATGCCTGACTAGAAGCTTTTGTTGTCCAATTATATGCTGTATCATGATTGCATAACTACATGAAAATATCATATCTTTATTTTTAATCAACAAGAAGAATGTATATAGTCTGCATTAAGGTTTTTTGAGAGTTCTGTTTTTCGACCCACCATCATTTATAGCAAAAAACTGTTACTCTCTTCATTGATTTATGTTTGTACTAGTTTCTTTTGCATAGTTTAAATGTAATATTGTAATTTAATATCCTTCAAAATTCTTGTAAAATTGCATTTTTGACAAATAGAAATAAAAGATGAATCTACAAGATTCCATATGACTATATTTTGAGGTAATGAAAACTTTTGAAGTGTTAGATTCCATTTCCATTGGAATCTCTCAAAATTCCAAATGAGACAAACAAAAGAAAACTGAGGGTCGAGGGAGTACATTTTCCCAGTATATAAATAGAATCAAATTTTGATAACAAAAACAATCAGGACTTATGTTTCAAATTTTTATTGCAATTTTTTTAGCTTTATTCTTATTGCAGTGCTATTGTATATGGAGACCATGGCAGTTGATCAACATATTATCTTCACTTTTCTGCCCTTTATTGTAGCTTTGCCTATGTCATAGACAGTATTTGTTATGACTTTTGATGGATAAAGTTGTAGAGTTGATTTTTTTAATTTTATAGTAAGAGCTTTTATCGAAGGAGTTCCAGATCTGTTGTAGACTTGTAGCCTCACCAAATATCATATCGTGCCTGAATTAAAGTATGATTGTTATTGTTGTGAAACTTGCTTTATTCTGTGGCTGGTAACATTAATACTGGTATTCTTTCAGATATATGTACCGACCAATCCGCGTGGTGCTGAGATGTTACCTCCAGGAATTGTAGTAGGAGAAAGTGATTTTTTTCTTCGAAGACTGTGGGGTGAACCGAGTGAGGTATACTTCTGTTGACTCAACAAATACCTATATTAGTGCTGTTGAGTGTTTCTAAGTATCTGACTGATACTCCCTCAATTCTGAGGCTGAAACATTGCATAAGTTCATAATAAAGGAACCTTGCTAAATTCCCATATATTTTTCATTGAATTAAATTTCTCTGTCTGAGGGCAAAGCTGCAGAAAACCTTGAGACAGAAAAGCAATTGAAATCTAAATAAGTTGATTTAACTTCTCAGGATCTCAATTTTTTTTTCAAATAGTTCTCAAAGTCTGTTATCTACTTATTTTGCATTAATGACCTGGTCTCATTGATGTAATGTATACTTTATCTAAATGAAAAAAGGCAGACTGTTGGTTTGAAGGATGTTCTTGCAATTTCTGTGTGCACTTTTCACTCAAATTGTTTCTTAGTGTCTGGACTGTCATTTTTTTTTCGCTCTTTACTAATAGCATACAAACTTATGCATTAGGAATTGTTGTTATGTCTTAATTTGATAACAACCCCCCCCCCCCACCCCCACCCCCCACCCTTTTCTCTTTTTTTGAGATATGTTGATTGATTTTGAAGAAAAAAATTGAAACTACCCTTTCCTTTCCCTTCGTTTTTGCAAAAAAAACTTCTCTTTTTTCATTATTGTATCGCTTTTACCTGCAGGATTTGAAAAAGAAGCCAAAATACTTGGTAACTTTCACTGTTGGATTAGCTCAGAGGGACAACATTAATAAAGCTGTAAAGAAGGTATTGAAATGTTAGCTTCTTCTAGAATACCACTGAAAGTATAAAATTATATTCAAGGACATGATATGAGTTCAAACTGTGTTGCAGTTCTCTGACGATTTCCAAATTTTGCTCTTCCACTATGATGGCAAAGTTACTGAATGGGATGAGTTTGAATGGTCCAAAAAAGCTATCCATGTCAGTGCTCCAAAGCAAACAAAATGGTTTGAATCCTTCTTACAACTCTTGCTATGTATAGCTAATAGCCTAGTTCTGTAGAAACGGATAATGGTAAATGTTGTTCCTATAACACAATCCATGGAATGATAGAAGTATAAATGATGTTTATATATGGAGTACTAGTTTTGTCAATTTTTTTGTGAATACAACAGCCCATTTAGTCAATCTGATTTCTCTCACAAATGCTTTAGCTGTATGAAATCTATTTGAAACAATGCTGAAAGCTGATAAGAGTTGATACTTTTAGATTCATGCATGGTTAAAATGACTAAGTAGTCCTGAATTTTGATTGCCTTGCGTGCACACTTTGTAACATGATTAGAACAATGAAGTAAATTTTCTCCCCATTATATATTCTGTTTTACTCTTGGTTTTGGCGCTCCTTTTTGTATCATATTTCCATTTTCCTTGATCTTAATTTGTATTCTGTTCCATAAAAAATAAGCTTTGTTGAGCTTGTGACATGCAAGGCATGATTTTTGTAAAGACTTGGGGATCAATGGTTCTTATCCATCTAATTTGTCAGGACTTATCTCCAAATTGGCAGGCATTTCTGACCTTTTTCTTTTTCCAATGGTTTACGGGAATATTTGTTAGCATTAGGTGCAAAGAATATGTAATTTCTGTTGTAAGCTTGTAACATAGTGATGTAATATGATTTAGACATACAGCTTATTGTGCTGCTTATATTTGACGTGGTCACCTTGTTCTGTCTCTCACTTAAATAATCTGCAGGTGGTATGCAAAGAGATTTCTCCACCCTGATGTTGTTGCTGCTTATGACTATATCTTTATCTGGGATGAAGATCTTGGTGTTGAACATTTCAATGCTGAGAAGTAAGTTGAAAATTTTCAATTGATTTGGTTTTATTATGATTTTAATTTCTAAGACAACTTTTTCTTGTTCAATTTTTTATTAGGTATATTCAATTGGTGAAGAAGTATGGCTTGGAGATTTCTCAACCTGGTCTTGAGCCTAATAATGGTTTGACATGGGAGATGACTAAGAGGAGAGGGGATAGAGAAGTTCACAAGTGTGCCTTCTATTTTAAGTTATGCAGTTGACATCAGTAATCCTTTTCCTCTCATGTGACCAAATTGTTTTTTTTTTTGCACTAGGGATACTGAGGAGAAACCAGGCTGGTGCTCCAACCCACACTTGCCTCCTTGTGCTGCGTATGTTCTTCTGTTCTTGCGCGCTTATGACATTTGACAAAATAGTGGGAAAAGGAGGCTGAAGTAAAATAGAAAGATAAAAATTAAAAAAAAGAAAAAAAAAAAAGAAAAGAAATAATCCTTGTATCATGTTATGGGTTGTTTTTTAGGACCTTAATAGCTTGATTTAATGCTGGGTCACATAATTTGAGCAAAACTGGGGTCACTCTACTTTTATTAACATGCACATACTTCAGTATTCATTGCATGTTTAATAGCTGCTTGATTGATATCTAATGCAAATGAATCTCTGTTTTGCTGATTAATTGCAGTTACTTTTCATGATTGGGAATGTTATGGATCTCTGAAAATTGAATATTGTGTGAATAAAATAATCCGAAGCATATCTAGTTAAAGAAATCACTCAAAGCCTATTACTTATCTCATGAAAGATTAAAGGGATTAGTAAACCATTCCCACACATTCTTTCTCTTCCTATTTAACTGTATTTTTGCTCTGGAAATGCTGCAGATTTGTGGAAATCATGGCCCCTGTTTTTTCTCGGGATGCTTGGCGCTGTGTGTGGCATATGATTCAGGTATTTGGTTTACGTTTTACATTTTTTTTTTATTTTTATTATTATTGCAAATTATTATCTATGGTTTTAATGTGCATAATCCTGTATGAATATTTATGCGAAGAATCTAAGTTTTTGTGTTATGTTTCACAGTTGAAGTTCGATGTTGGAGTATTTTGATGTTCTTATATCTCTAATTGATTGTCATTCTTATCATGCTTTCAGAATGATTTGGTACATGGGTGGGGACTGGATTTTGCTCTGAGAAGATGTGTAGAAGTAAGTCTTTCGTTTCTGGTTGTCATATCATTTTCATTTTCACTACCTATTCGGAGAGTTATATTGTAATACTTGCTTTTTCTTCTGTCTAGTATGTAATTAGTGTGTCACTGACTCACTTTCAAGGTAATTCCTTGCTTGTGTTTTGACTTGGGCAGCTAAGTATAGCATTAATTCTTTCTATAGCTGAATTCTGATCATTTTTTATAATTTTTTTTTTATTTTTTTATTGGTGATTCTCGACAATAATGCCAGATAATTTTTTTTTTAAGTAGGCCTATTAGTTTGAGCTCTTTATAAATGATATTTATCTTGATAATTTTTATGATTTTTTTTTTCTTTTTTGTGGAATTGGCCAAGTGGCCCTATCACTATTCTGGCTAAAAGTTTTTATGATCTGCATCTTTCATTTCGAATAATGTACTCCATTCTTAACTTTTTTGTTGTTTGTTCTGTAGCCTGCGCATGAGAAAATTGGTGTTGTAGATCAGCAATGGATAGTTCATCAAGTAATTCCTTCTCTTGGGAACCAGGTAAATAAATCTTTAAATAGCATATTTAAAATCTGAAGTGCTACTCCCCTCTCTTTTCTCTCTCTCTCCCTCTCGTTTTCCAAAAAATTACACTCAATTGCGAGGGGGAAAATGAGTTATCAGGTAGAGGCAAAGTTATCTATCAAGTATTCGAGGTCACTTGGGACCTGAGGTGGTTCTTAGTACTTACAGACTGTATATAAATTGTATCCATTGAAGTCTATCTGTACCCTTGTACTATCAGTTAGTAGAGATAGGGCGTCCTATAATGGTTTAAGATGATGTCTTGGTTCTGAGTATTTTTTGTGTATTTGGAAATCATCGTGTCCTGCAGAAACAATTTTGATAGCTTTTAAAGATTAACAGATTGTTTTGCATTTTTTTTTTTTTTAAATGTTAGAAATGTAATCTTATTTGATGAAAAGGCTGTACACAATTATGAGATTTAACTTGATTTTTACATTTTCAAAACTTGTATAAGTAACGGTGAATTTGTAGTGGCTTTGGACATGTAAAGTCTTCGTAGGTTTTTGAGGTCCTAAAAGTGAAACTTCACATACAAGTGTTTTTTTAGAGTAATATTTATAATTTATAATAATAAAGCATGAGTGGCTTTAAATCTTTGGAGACGGTGCTTCCCTATTAAATTGTTAACGATCTCCCTTCATTTGCAGTGTGTTCTTAATCTCACAAACTCGTATATTTACTTTCATCCACATACATGCTATTCTGCAGCTTTCTTTGAATTCAATGTTTTATCATTTTGTGATTCTTTTTAAGTAGTGCATCTATCCATTTTCAGGGTCAGGCTGAGAATGGCAAGGCTCCATGGCAAGGGGTAGGGACTTGTACTTTAATATCTTTAATCTGCTTGTGAATTTCTCTCTTCTTCTGTTTCTTTTTGCTCACATTGATCATGTAGACATGTTTGCTCAATATGTTGTGTAGTAGATGTAATGTTAATCTTTTAACTACTACAGTCATGCTATATTTTGACTGCTTTTTCCCTAGAAGTTCCAAACTGATTTCTTTTGTTCATCTATGATCTTATATCAAGGTCCGTGAGAGATGCAAGAAAGAGTGGTCTCTGTTCCAAAATCGACTTGCAAATGCTGACAAGGAATACCTTGCACAAACTCGGGAAGGGCTAATGACTATTCTTTATGTGTAGCGTAGCCGCATGCTAATGCTGATCACTTTTGATCTCTCTACCAGCATCGTGATTGGAAGATTAGTTCAGTTTCTACTAATGATGTGCTTTCTGGTTTGGTAATGGGTATTCCTTTGGCCTCTAAGGATATAGGGAAGAAATAACTACACATTGTGCATAGAATACTATATTAATGCTAGGTAACCTGTGTAGATTATTATTCTTCCCACCTTTGCGTCCAATATTGCTGTTATATTGGATTTACCTAGTGGTTGTGTTGCAGATATGCGTAGATTTTAGGGGTCATCCTTGTATTAAATTGTTGTACAAATTTTGAACAGCTGAGGCAAACTGTTTAGATGAGACTTAGTCCCCATTCCTTTGTTTTTGCGGAGGCGAGGGATTGTTACATCCTTGTGGATTTCTTTGGGTAGCTTCGTGTTAGAAACATGGTTGATGAATTCTTTCTGCCACATCAACCGATTTTTCTATCTTAATTCCAGTTCTTTCTCTTCACTGTCTCTATATATCTGGTCCAGGTTTTTTTTTTATCAACTTTTTACAGATTTTCATAATCTTTGTTTTACTTCGCTGTGAGAATTACTTAATAAGCATTAGTGCATTACAAGTAATTAATTCTCTAACATTGTTGCATTTGGACTTGACATATGTGCGATCCTGTAGGCTGTAGCATGCATATTTGGCAAACTTAGATGTTTCTTGATTGGGAATGCATTAAAAAACTTAAAAAATAATCTAATTTGTCAAAAAAAAAAAAACAGTAATTTGTAAGTTGTGGAAATAGAGGGCTGCATACATATGCATTCTCAAAATACTCCGTATGATTTAAACCTTAAATAATCTCTTTAATTTGACCATTTTGAGATCTTTCGGATTTGGAACGTTAACCACCGTGTAATAAGTGTAAAGCAAGCGACTTTGTCTAAAGCCCTTTTTTTTTCACCAATCAACCACTATTTTTTACAAACTTGCTCAACACCATGCATAAATAGAAAATTTGGTTTTAAAACCATATTTTGATCTTGTTGGTAAAAAGGCAATATGTCTTAGCTACAACAAGGGCAAGCCCAAAAACACGCGGCCCAAATCAAATAACCTAAACAGCATGTCCGCGATCCGCCCAAATCAACCCATGCTCTATAAAATGAACATTTAGTATTTAGTTAAAAAATATGAACATGGAAAAAAAATGAACATTTAATAACAAAAAATGAACACGTAAAAAATGAACATTTAATACTAAAAAGTGAACATGTTATAAGAAAATGAACATTTATTAAAAATGAACATGATTATCATATAATCATATAAATTTGGTAGACCATGACCTTAAAAATGAACATTTAGTTAAAAAAAAAAAAAAATCTGTGATAAAAATGAACACTTAGTAATAAAAAGTGAACATGCAAAAAAAGAAATGAACATTTAGTATATTAGAAATGAACCATCATATAACACTTTAAAAAATGAACATTTAGTATGAAAAAATGAACACTTATAAAATTGAACATGTAACAAACGTTATGAACATTTAGGATATTAAAAATGAACATGATTTTCATAAGTTTCAAAATTCATTTTAGATAATTATTAATGAAAAAATAAAGATAAAATAAATTAGTAAAATATGTTCATTTTTATGTATTTAATATTCATTTTCGGTGTACTAAAATGCTCATTTTGTAAAAGATGTTCATTTTTAAATTCTTGTGTGTTCATTTTTTATAATAGAAATTATATAAGATTGATTGTAATATTTAAACTCTAAAAAATTGAATATACACCTTAAATCTAATCTTTTTTTTTTTTTTTTTTTTTTTTTTTAACAGCTAGAGAAAAGGGAAACTAATCCTAAACTTAGTGAAACTAACAGAAATACAATGAAATAAGGAAATAAGGTACAATGTCATCAATTTTCTTTTTTATCATCTATCCTTGTATGCTAGTGTGATCACTTTGCATCCACTTGAGAATTCTCCTGTTTGCAACCTCAATATCCAAGTGCCAAAGCTGTAATCTTTGTGCTTCTCAAGACCTTGAGAATCACACTCAGAAGTTCAGCTTCACGGTTCTACTGTTGCTGCTGATCTTCCCCCGTTTGAAGGTGAACCATCAGATTTCAAGAGCCATTCCCATCTTCTTTTCTTTCCACTCCTTCGGTTGTGAGATATACCTAATGTGATAGTGCTGCAAGAACAGCCCCTGTAACCAATTGGATACTGTCTATGTGTTGTGTACTCTTATCTAAATTAGTAACTGCTCTTTGTCATGCTCATATTCGAACCCAGGAGAACCTGACTCAGAGTTTCAGAGTCTGTAATAGCTTCAGATTTTGAGTTCTGAAATCTGGAGTAATGAAAGCTCATTTTTCTTTCAAGGAAATGGTAGCAGACCTTGAATTCAGATTAATGTTCTGAAAATTTTGTTGTTTCTAATTTCCCAGATACAATCAAGCACAGCAAGTAAAAGATTGTATTCCTCATTCACTTTCTTTTCTTGTCGTTTAGCATCCTCATCCAATTATAAATCCACTCAGCTAGGGGAATGTCTGCTTGATTGGCAAAATTGAGACCTAGCCTGCACCCTTTCCACAAATGACTTGCAAAACTACATTCCCTAAACAAGTGTTCAATTGTTTCTAAGTGACTGCTGCTGGGTGAATCATAATAGAAATAATCTGCAGTTGTAGTCATCTCCTAAACCTCTTTTTTCCTTTCACAGCCCACAGGAAGAGCACCCTTCATGATTTTCCACATAAAGATTTTTTGTTTCGGGTTTTCTTTAGCTTTCCAGAATTCCTTCCAATTAATATTTTGCTTCACATGACTATTTGTGTTCCTGTCATTTTGATGTTTTTTTGCAAGAGAAATCTGTAGCCACTTCTTACCGAGTACTTCCCACTTTTATCACATTTCCATGTAATCAAGTCCTCATATCCCTCAATCATAGGCTTGATAATACAGATTTTCTTAACAGAAACATCAGAAAACCAATTATTACAAGCATCCAGGTCCCAATTCCCATCATCCTTTCTAAGCTTAGCTACACTACTATTGTCAGAGCTTCCTTGGTATCTCCATTTCGGGGTTGCACCATAGACCCAGGGATGGTGAATTTTTGCGAGGAACCCATCACCTATGGCACAAGAACAACCTTTTTTTAACACTTGTAATCCCCATTTGATACCATTCCAACCCCACGAGCCTAAGCTTTTCCTACTCCAAGACTCTTCAAAAAGAGTTTGCCGGTCAACACCATATTTAGCTCTAAAGACTTGGCTGATTAAAGAGTCTCTGTCATATACTATGCGCCATCCTTGCTTGGCCAGAAGCGCTTGGTTGAAAAACCAAGCATCAAGGATGCCAACACCACCCTTGTCCTTACTCTGAGTGAGGTGAGCCCACCCTTTCTAATGAACACCTTTATCACTCTTGTTGCCAAGCCACCAAATCTAGCAACAATGCTATTAATGCGTTATAAGATTATAGCAGGGCACTTAAAAACCAAAAGCACATAAGTTCCTAGATTGGAAAGCACTGATTTTATCAGTGTTAGTCTACCAGCATAAGATAGAAAAATCGAGTTCCGAGCTGTCAGCCTTTCCTTCACCTTATCCACCAACTTACCAAAAATTTGCTATTTTGAGGAACCAAAATCAGCAGGTATCCCCAAATAAGTATCAAACTTATTGCTTCTTGAGATTCCAAGATCTTCACTATGTTTTTTTATCTCCTCCTCACTAGTATACAGGCTTGTCAATAAGACCGATTTTTCTTCGCTTATAACCTGGCTAGAGGCCCTGCAATAAACTTCAAGGACCTGTTTTAAAGTAGCCACATTTTTCTCATTCCCTTGTAAAAAGAAAGCTGAGTCATCAGCAAA